TAGTAATTTCTCCCAAATGCCTATAACTAGACAGGTTAACGGGGGCTTATTTTAAAGTGTGATTGCACCTTTTTTAGAACATGTAAATATTTTTGTTCATGACCTGGGCACAGGTTTACTTTAACACAAGAGAAAGACAAGAAATGTTGCTTATGTTCCTGTATCATCATGGCAAGCAGCATAGAAGGGAAATACAAATAATAACTTTTAGTAGTTCAGGAGTTACTTCCCCCAACCTAAACACCAGCCAGTTGCTAATAGATAGTCATCAGTACCAAATAAGTGTGGTGTAATGACTGGCGCCACCAGAAAAAGAACCTTTCGCCTGCTTTTAAAAATGCAAGCTCCACAGCTATCTATATAATTGATAATCACATGATTGTTCCAGTGCAATGACCTAGGTAGTGAAGAAAATATAGAGATTACAATCTTAGAGCTTGGATCTTTAAAAACATGTCAGCATTAGCAAATCCTTTATTCCCAGGCTGACGATATCCTTTTGGGAACCTGACCTGGCCTGAATAGTGCCTAAGGTAACAACGGTATTAAAGTGCCTGCAGGGCCCTGTATGTTAAAATTCTGTACTGTTTGGTGGAGTACCTTAACACAAAGAGGGCCTAGAGATAATATAAGAAGTTAGGTGTATAGCATGCAGGGTCAGATGTGGGTGTTTTTAAGGGTGTTGGGTAAATATTCCTGAACTTTACATGTTGTATATGCTAGCAGCTTATTTTGTTATTCTTTTAATAAAAAGTGGGCTTCAGTGATCAGCAGCATATACCCTCACATATTCAAAAGCATAACACCTCAGTGTATAATATTATATACCTTACTAAGTGTTTGCTCCCTTCAAATTAGCTATGAAATGTGAGTGCATACAGAAGCAGACCTGGTGGGACAGTGAAGAGAAAAAATGTGTGGCATGCACATCATGTCATGGCACTCACTGCACTTGGCCCAATCACGCTAAATATTGGGTCTGGATTAATGAGTGAAGTTTAATAGAACCTACAACTGCTCTCTGTATATGATGCACACATACCCTGTAGCCCTTATATCCACAAAATAAATCTTAATTGCTATGCCACAACCAAGACACTCAGAGACAAACTGTGGGGGGTATATATCAAAGTGGAGCAGACAGAATCTGGAGCAGTTGCCCATAGCAGCCAATCAGCTTCTCTTTTCAGTTTGTTCATTTAAGCTTTGAAAATGAAAGAGATAAACTGATTGGTTACTATGAGCAACTGCCATAGAGTCTGTCTGCTGTCTGCAACCTGGGAGTGAAGGAGCTGTTTTGTGTACTAACCGTGTACTGCTCTCTGCAGGGAAGCAGCACAGCCTGCAGAGAGAACAGTGGCTGGGCCAGTACAGTGTCACAGACAGCAAGAGGAGCAGCAGTAGCTCGCAAATGTGACACTGCTGCTTCTTGCCCTGGCTATCAGGTTAGCAGTGCAACGTATGACCTTCCTTTAAAAGGGAGTCGGGGGTTTTAGTTGAGTGGTTTGTGGGGCCCTTGGAAACTTGGATGCGTGGGCCCACCCAAATTAAGGGGCCATGAGTGCCTGCAAGTACCTGCATGAAGTAGGGTATACACAGTTAGAATTTTGAATGAACGAAATTGATTTCGGAGCATTCGCTCAACTTTCCAATCGTTAATGTGGTGAAATTGCCGATTGATTTTGACTGCAGTGATTAATAAATTGGAAGGAGCATGTTGGAAAAATGTTCTTGATCGATTGGAAATCTAACAGTGGATGTGGTTTTCGTTCGGGAAGCTCCATTCATTCAAATATTGAATGTTAAATGAAAACGAAAATCAAACTAAGTTTTGAATGACAATCGCCAAGTCTCCGATGGCATTATCGAAGGTTCTGACGTGATTTTTTTGTATGAACATTTGTTTAAAAATCTACCATCTACCCTACTTTAATCTTTCAAATCAATCCCTGTGGAATCCCTTGGATCTTGGACCCAAGCTGCAGACTGGATTGGCAGTCTCTCCAAGATTAAGATCCACCTCATGTCTAATGCCAGAATTTCTACTGCCACTGCTGCTTCCCATTTGACAAACAAATGAAAACGTACAAGGGGCTCCAAAAGGGAACATGTCAGGTTTACTTTAAGGGCCACATCGTCTCATCAGTTCACCAGTTTGTTTCATCCAAAAAGCTCTCAATTGAACACATCCAATGCCATGTCTCTTCACTGGAAAATACAGCCTACTGTATTAAAAAATATACATTGAACCCTTTGGCTGAAAACCAGCTTGTTCCACTGCACATTGTAAACACTGTAGATTGATTCACGTATTCCTAACTATTGGCAAAAGTTCCTAGAGTAATTCTGAGTTGAAAATGAGTTTGTTTATGTACTACTTGTGTGGCATTGATATTTGTATGATAAGTTCGGTATATCCTAAGAGCTGTACTTCAGTGTTATCTTTTGTAGCAAGCGTTCGGTTATAACAAGGAAACTAGTATTGACTTCACTGTATGCTGTCATTTTTGCTCATTACCTAAGTGATCTTCATTGAAACGGGTGCAGATATTATTATATAGTTCACTTTACAGTTTTCTAAGCTGTTAGGAATTACAGTATGTATCAGCCAGACAACAAATGATCCCTTTTAGTATATGCAGTATTTTTGGGCTGTAACCAACAAATCGATTAATCGATAATGAGTATAGTTGATGCCCTAGCTCTCACCTACATGCTGGGTGGAGGGCACAGCAAGCAGTGGATGGGTGCAATAGCCAGCCTGCTATTGAGTATTGCAATTTGAAATGGCCAATAGCAGGCTGACTATTGCACCAGCCCAGTACCTGCTGTATTTACATTCAGCTGCCATCTGCAGAATTCAGCTTGCCACTGGCAGTTGAAATTCCCTGGCTGAAGCTATTCAAGCGCCATATGCTTACAATTATGAAAAAAATAAATGCTAAAAGGTGGAAAAAAGTAATTTTTGGTTTCGGCCTGAGAAATTCTGCTGCGGGAGGTGCGTTTCAGTGCCATTCATTTCAATGGCACCCGAAGCGCACCTCCTACCCACAGTGTTATTGCCCATACTGAAACGCACTGTACCGCAATGCTGTGCTTTCCAGTGCAGTGCGATTGCAAAAAAATTGTGCATGCAGTTTTGTTCTAAAGTAAACTTTATGTTTGTAACACTTCAATTGTGTATTTTATTTTAAATTAACAATGGTAGCACATACCCATAGGTAAAATTAGAAAATAGGTTTAAAATATACTAGTACTACAGCTATAGAGGAGCAGTTCTTACTTACGCTATAACTCCCCAACATGCTCCTTGGGTCCAGCATATTAATAGGGGCTGGACATGTGCTTATAGATAGGAATACGCAAAGTGTCACTTTGCCTGATGAAGGGGCCATGTGTGGTTTCAAAAGGTTGCAATCTTTCTTTATGCTGCAAGAGCGTCAATAAAGACAAGATTTTGAAGCAGATGGTGTGCAGATGACATCTCTTTATTTTATTTACAGGATGATCAGGTGAAAGATGTGACAACAAATCAACAATTATAAATTTGTTATATAATTGTTGTATAAATAACTGATAAAACCCAAACTGAACGGGGTGTTGCACTGAATGCAGTGGCATCCTCATTGCTTCAGGAATTCACAATTCAGCTACAAAACAAACAGACTTAACAGGCAGTTCCAGACATAAGCAGAACATCACAAATTCAATTGAAACAGCTAAAACTAGAACAGGGGGTTATTCAAATCCTGTTGGGTTTACAAAACCTGAAAATATTTCTAACTATGCCCCATTGTAAAATTGTCATTAAACTCCATTTAGCCAAAGCCTGCTAAATGGAGTTTAATGACAATTTTACAATGGGGCATAGTTAGGAATATTTTGCAGTGGCGCCTTCGACTAGTTGTTCCAGCACCCGATTTAAAGCGGTATACTGATATGGCGTGTGGTGAAGATATATCTATAGCATGTGCTCATAGATGACTCATAAAATTGGGCCTTCTAAACCTTTTGTAATATCTAAGCAAAGCCTGATGAACCGATTGCCCATAAGTCATGGTCAAAGGAAAAAAAAGAAGAGGCCAGGACACTGATTAGGGCAAGGTTATAGTATACTGTATCTAACCTTTTTTAGTTTTGAATAGAGTGGGGAAGGGTTAAAATCCCTGTCTTTTTTTTTTTGTCGGCCATATGTTGTTGGGGATATTTTTCTTCCTGACCTGAAGATACAACAGGAACTGAGAGAAAAAAATAAGGAAAATCCCTTACTAGACAGCTGTCACTCCAACAAGTGTCCTCATTGGAAGATATACAGACGATGTGTGTTCTGATGAAAACTCACATATTTGAGTTTTCTTCCAGGCTGCTTTGTAATATGTAGCTTTTCCCATCTTGCATGACAGCTACCCATTAAGTGTCTGTCTAATTGCTAATGTGGGCGTAAAGAATGTGAAAGATCTCTCGGTTATAATGCTGTCAGGTAACTGAGCAGTAGGCATTTTTTTGGAAAGAGTAGAATTGGTGTTTTGTAATTAGAGATTGGTTTACAGTACCACGTATCACAATTCAAGAAAGTGACCGAATAGAGTTTAAGCTAAACAAATACTGCCTGAATCCGTTCTGACCCCATTTTAGCTGCCTGTAAAGAGAAAAGGCTGGAGATACGTTTATTTAATAAAGCATTAAAAAGAGCAATGATCATGTCAGAAGCTCGATAATCAGTTAAGAGCTGTCAGGACAAGTAAAGATGAGGACAGCACTTTACTGAGGTGTGCTTGGTTAGATGTATGGGGTTTGAATGCTTGTACTACTTATTAATGAGACAGGAGGAGGTGTCGGATCACTTCTGAGAAACACATTTCCTCCCCAGGCCATTTATCCTAAACGCCTTTTAGAAAACTGTGAAATGCAGATCACTATAGGACACTCTCCTGCATTTTCAGATCAGACATTCTGTTTACTGATGAGGCTATTCAAACAAACTTTGTTCTTGTTTTCAGGGGTGCTTTCTCGGTGGTGCGGAGATGCATGAAGATCACCACAGGACAAGAGTATGCTGCCAAAATTATCAACACCAAAAAGCTGTCTGCAAGAGGTATGCATCAAATGTTTCAAGTCATATTAACCACTTCAAGACCAGGTGTTTAGACCCCCTTCCTGGCCAGGCCATTTTTCAGTGTTCAGCGCTGCGATACTTTGACTGACGTTTATTAAAAAGGTGTTTAAGCTATTTCTAATGCTGATTTAGGGCCCGTTCACATCAAAATCAGAAGGAAATCGCAAGTCAGCGGAGGTCCATTGAATTGCAATTTCAACCTCAACTTGCGTTTCGTTTTTGTTTTGTTTTTTCTCTTTTTGGCGAATCTTTATTTTAATTCACATGTTCTGAGTGGACAAACGTCTATAGATTTTATTCTTTAACTCTGTTCTGTTGCGTTTTCATCCATTTTTGTTACGTTATGTTGCTTTGAAAAGAAGTACAGCATGCTCTACTGTTTTTTTATCGCAATGCAACGGAATGCAATGCATCACAATGGTGTGAACTGGCCCCATTGCGTTAGCATCCTTTGAAAAACGTATTGCAACTCAGTGGATCTGGTGTGAATGGGGCCTTAATCATTTACAACAGATAATGCCCCTTCATGTTTAAAAGATTTAATTTCCTAGAGAATCAACTGGTCTCCTGAGCACTTGATCTGATATCCTGTTTTAGGGTGGTTCCTTTTCCTTGCAGGGTCCTATGGATCCATCCTTGTGTGTGTCTCTACAATCATACAGACACAGAAAAGCAAGTCACTTCCCTCCCCCCTGCTCCCCTCTCCTCCTTCGTTCTCCCTTCTCCAGTCTAGTAGATGGGAGGCTGCTGGCGTCTTATCTTCCCTTGTGTACTGAACAGGAAGTTCAGGGAGTTTTTTCTGTCCACATCCTCCAATGACTCCTTTTTAAGAACAGAAGATATACAGTAGATGGCTGCTTTGTATTGGTTGAGCAGAGATAAACTTTTCACGGCCTTTGGAGAATCCTTCCCATGGCCAGTATAAAATGGGTGTGAATATCAGTTTAGAGGTGGGGGGTGAGTTATATGGTGTAGTTGATGCTACCATTCTGGTAATATGGTTAATAACTGATGGAAATAACTTCCCTGCTCTAAATATAAGATCCTAGGCCATTTTCTTTATATGTATGTATTAATGTATTATAAGCGCTCTGCATGGTTGCAGCCAGAAAGTACTGTTGTAGCTTAGGGCTCATTAGTGGGCAGTCGTCTGCCTGAAAGGCATCCTGCAACATGGGAGTAAGATGCTTCTGCAGTATGTTGTGAAAAAAATAGGTCAGCGCTTAATTGAATCATATTTCTCTTCATTATTTACAAATGAACTTGCTCCATTAAGGCAGGAGATAGGAGCAGTCGATCAACAGCCAGTTTAATGCGGTCTATGTTTTTCTAAAACGGGAATATGTTCTAGAAGCCTTGGATATAAAAGGATTTGTTCTGCCGATAACGCTAACATTGTAATTTAATCCAGCATGTGGTGCACTCTAAAAATATGCATACTGCCAGCCATCAGGTTATGAACAAAGTGTGCCTGTTGTCCTAACATATTAGAGGCAACATTGTTGTGATAGGACCAAAAAGGTGCAGTCTATGTATTGTCACAGAAGTCAATGACACTGATGTGGAATAATGAAGGGCATGCCTGTTGAATATACACTGCCTGGACGGAGAAAAGGTCACCGCTCCAAGCTCTCTCCCGTGATAGACTTTAATTTTAATACAAATTAGCTAACTGGGCATAAGATTGTATTCCATCCCGGGAATGAGCTTGGAGCGGGTGTGACTACTTTACAACACTCACAGGGACCATGGGGGAACAAAAGTAGCCACCCTCCGGAAGGAAGGATGGTGTCAGCAGCAATTCAGAGATGATTTGAGGATCTGCAGCCGAATGATACACAAATAAGTAAACCAAAATATCCCCTGTACACCATACAGCAAAAGAGACCTTTGATAGTGATAGTGCTCGTACTGATGTCCACGGATGGTGCCGTGCAAATCCAAGGTGTGAACAATGAAGATCACCAGCACACCAAGGATGACATTTTAAACAATTGTGACATGCTTCTTTGAATAAAAGAACATTTGGATTAATTTCATCCGTCGTGTGCTGGTGATCTTCATTGTTGATACACAAATAAGATAATTTTTTATAAATAGTAAGGGTACCTGAATGCATTTTTTTTAGATTTAACTCCTGAGTTTAGTGTCACTTTAAGGATGAAAAGAAATGTAGTGGTGGATATGGCTACCCATAGACATAACATAGTGCTCTGAAGTTACAAGGGATTTCAAATTGATTGTTTGCTCATCTAAGAACGATTGTGGAAAGAACTAAATATGAACCTCACCAGAAAATTGATCCGTTCAAATGGAATCTAAATTCCCCTTCTCAGGACCGCAATGAAAACCTGGAAGAGGTTCTACCCTTTAAATAATTGTAAAGTCCCTGCATATACTATCCTGTTATAACATCAGAATTGTAATAGGAATACATACTAGAGTTTGTTTTTGATATTGCAATCAAAGTGCTACCTTCTGTCTGCTCATCACTTTTTTCAACTTCCTGGATTCCCAGTGTGCTTTGTATCTCTGTCCTTGCTACATGATGTGATGCAATCTTGATTTCTCAGACTACATATCCTATTGTACATTGCTGCCAGCAAGCAATGATAATGTTACACTGTTCAGATGTTGAGTTGTAGTTCAGAAGGCATTCATAGGTCTGAGTGAAATTGCGTCAGTGCATTGAGGAAGTGTATCCTATGGACATCTTCAATAAGTAAGTTTATAAACTTCTAGATCGATATGGTCATTAGGAGTGTAATGGAATTTATGGACATGCAATATAGAAATACATATTTAGTTTTTGACAATAATGGGAACAGTTCTGCCTGGCACCATACTGTAAGCACTTATTGGCCAAGGACGTACTAGGATCACCCTCTAGGATTTCAGTTAAAGTGACATTAAAGCTAGAATTTCCTCCTAACCCCGCCCCCAATACTGTTGTAAGGACGTTTTCCAAAGTCGTTCAAGTGCTGGTGCCAGTTTCTGATTAAGCGCAGACTTCTCGGGTCCCACAAAGTCTGTCGTGCGTGCGAATACCCGGCTGCCTGGCTGCGTCCATTCAGTGTCAGTGGGGCTCTCCTCCTCTCCCCTCTGACGATCTGTACGGTGCATGCGCCCATCCACACTTCCTCCTTCAAAGCGTTTGGGAGCTGGGACTTTTGCAGCGGAAGCGAGCGGCACTGACACAGGTAAGTTTGTTGGTATTTGTCAACTTAGTTTTTTAAATTTGTTTTTAATATTGGGGCATATATCTACTGCATACTAGCAGTAGATATATGCCAAAAAAGACTTTAATTCTACTTTAAAGTGACATTAAACCCTCAGATTTATTTAACATAAACCAATACAGTAATGTGTGCCTTACTGTAATCCATGGTTGTTTCCCTTCTCTTTGCTGCTCTTCCTTTTAAATCCTCATGTCTTCTCATGCTTGGGGAGAACTTCCCTTTTCAGCTCAGGGCCTCTTCCTGTAGTGCTGGCTCAGGTTACAAGCCTATACAAACGTGTACACAGACACCGTGTATCGATTCCTGAGACAAGGCAGTCTGCTGCAAAACACAAGTTCTGCCCAGCATGAGAACAGATACAGATTTAAAAGAAAGAGCAGCACAGAGAAGGGAAACAACCATGCATTACAGTAAGGCACACATTACAGTATTGGTTTATGTTAAAAAATCTGAGGGTTTAATGTCACTCTAAGCTTCCAGAGCTCCCCCAGTAAGTGGCAGTAGTCAGTGATCACTGATATATTGTACTACGGTGATTATTGATGGATATGATGTATCTGTGTTGTTACATTGTAATTAGCTGCAGCTGTTACATGCAATTAACAGGGAACATGTACATCTGCTCTGTACCTTTAGCCACAGAAAACCTGCAAATTGAAAGAAAATCTTTTTTAATTCAATTATTTGTTAATATCTTGCTTAACTAGTAAACCCCAATTAGACCTGATCAACTCCTTCCTCTCAGGAGAGAGACATAATATGTGTGTTATAAGTGGGACAGATTGCAAAATAAATCGCTAGTCAAACTGGAATAACATATGTGTTTGCCTTCTTTACTGTGTTGCCTCTAAAATGTATAGAAAAAATGTAAAATGTATAGAAAATGAAAAAGTCTTGAAATACCGCCAGATGACAGCCTTGTATTCCCCAGAGAAAGAAATATGTTTCACTTCAGTATAGAAAGTAACGATAAAGTTAGAGCTGCAGCTAACGATTATTTTCAAAATCGATTCGTTAGCCGATTATTAAGTTCGATTAATCGGTTAATCGGATAAAAAAAAAAGTTATTGCTGAAAGCTGAACTCCAGCCTTCTTTCATTCTTGCACAGTTGTACAGGCTACTCTCCTGTACTGAAACTGCTCACTCTGATATCACGGCACATTGTGTGCTTCTCACAGTGTGCAATAGAAGCTGCAGCAAGTCAGATAGAGCCTGCTTAATTTCCTGGCTGGAGGACTTCCAGCATCTCCCCAGCCATCCCATCCCTGGCCTACCTCTTTGATTCATTGGATTTCAGTTCTTTCAATCATGGAGGCTCAGCATTACTAGGTTGGCCTGCAGGCGAATGCAGCCTGTGTAAAGGTGCCCATACACCTTACGATTATCGTACGATAATCGTATGCGATCGACTTTTCGTACGACAATCGTAACGTGTGAATAGAGTGCCCGACCGATAGTACTGTACAATCGTACGACTTTTGGCGGTCAAGCATGTTTGAAAACTTTGGTTGATCGTACGATGTTCGCATGGTTGGTGGCGTTTCCATCCGTCAAAAGTCGTGCGATTAACACTGCGCAAGCGCAAACGAAAATAATTGCGGTCAATATCCGCAAGTCGTCCAGGTGTTTTTATTTAACTACCGCTGATTGAACCTTGCGATAATCGGGGCAGGATGGGGCCGTCGTACGAAAATCGTACGACGGTTCGATCATCGGACGAAAAGTGTCGTCCCATAATC